GTATAGATCGGTGACAGTTATCTCATTTTAAATAAGATTATTTATAATAATAGTCAAATTAGCAGTTCCTTTGTTGTACCCAAAATGTTTTTGTGAGCTATTTAGGTTGCGACCGTCATTAGTTATAAATTACGTTTTTATTTATGTTATATTACAAAGACGTTTTTTTGTGCTAGAAAAAGGTAACTGTCACATCCATGGTCTCTGTAAAAAAATCTCTTTTTCGCTATTTATAAAGTAATTTGGTTCTCTTTTATTTTTTTCATATTGAAATTAAATTGAATTGTTTCATTGAATATATTTTCTCAACTTTATGATGTGATGTAACTTATTTTATTATATGTTTAAATCTTGTATATAAAATTCTCGTGTCACAATTTTCGTTCCCATACTCCTCCGAAACGGCTTGACCGATTCTCATGAAATTTTGTGAGCATATTGAGTAGGTCTGAGTGACTGACGGAGCCGCGGGCGACAGCTAGTAATATAGTAAATCTAATTATTAAATTAACCCAATATTATCCGAAAGAATAATAGCAATAGGAGGAAGTAATTCCAAAGCTTTTTCAATATCAAAATTGTTCGTAAAAGTACATTTCTGTGGACACATTTTATGTGAAGTGATCCCTAAAGTCTATACCTCGGAGAGACGTTAAACCTTCAACAAAACCTTTTTAGGCCAACACCGACTTCTCGTTATTTATTGTCGCCACTAAAAAAAGTCGTACTGAACAAAAAACACGTAAACCGAACTCCTTGTCTTGTATTTTGTGTATTCTCCGAGGTCTCGTTTAGTTGAGAGAAAATTTTTGAAGTCGTAAAAGTGTAGAGGATCATTATGAAGGATTTGATTTCATTCAATTTATTAAAAAAGTAATCATAATAAATTAATATTACTTGTATGAAACTTCCTACTGTTTTTAATAATGAGGAACGTATGATTATTTTATACGGCAGTTTTTGAACAAGCCGCGCCTGATGTTTTGAAATAACAATAACAAGACATGAGAGTTTGCATTTATTTTTTTATAGGTATAATGTCCCAATGATATTGAAATTTTAACCTATTTCCAGTACAAATATAGTTTATAAATACATTGGATCAGTAGTATCACATGGATTAAGTCATCTTTCACTTTAACCTACGAGAGAAGTTCGCTAATCGAATGCAACGGATGACTGAACTTTAATTAAAACTTCGCAAAGAGCTCTTTTCTTACGAAACATTATGATGTTATCAAGCTATAAACCTTACTTTTTTAATTTATATTTATGATGTCACTGAAACTTATTTAACATTTTCTAGCCTAAAAATATTTTAAATTCTACGTAAGTACATTTTTTTTAATAAAAAAAATTCTTTGTCTTAAGGACGAGTTGACTTGAATGTTAAAAGAACTGTTCGTTTCTTCTGAGTTTAGTACAACTTTAAGATAAATATTTTAAGAAAATTTATTTACTATTTACGTATGTAGTTGAAAAAGATATGACAAAAGCTTTTTCGTTTAAAACAAGCTCTAGCATGTATAAAAGAAATCTTTTGTACATGCGAAAGCTTGTTTGTAAATCGACCGTCCATCGAAACTTGATCTTCGATCTGGTTCGTTTTACATATTAAATATATACCTCCGTAGGTGTACTAGAGGTCTAACCTGACCAGTTGGAAATCAGTCTTTTTCCTTTTTCAGAAATGGAACAAGAGCATTAAGCCGACACTATCAGACATACGCTCGTCTGTTTCAGGGTCTGTGGTTTTAGATTTCGATTCCTAGGAGTTTTAGAGCTTATTACAAAAGATTAAAATGGAAATTATTTTCTATCTTATATCTTTAAATGAGCAATTCTTGTATATATATATAATTGGAATCTCGGAATCGGCTCCAACGATTTTCATAAAATTTAGTATATAGAGGTTTTCGGGGCCGATAAATCGATCTAGCTAGGAATCATTTTTAGAAAATGTCATTTTATTCGTGTTTTATCGATAATCAACTTAAACATAAACTTAATTTTTTCTATCGGTAAGATCTAAAAATATTATTCATATTTCATCATTTTATTAGTAATTCGTACTTAAATATAATTTCCAAAGAACGCAATTAAAAAAAAATACCTAGCAAAACTCGGTCATCCAGGTACTGTTATTTAAGACTAGCTGCCGCCTAAACTCCGCGCGGCATTTCAAAAACGTATTTAGTAGCCCATGTATTCTTCCAGATTATGTTCTACATCTTTACTAAAGATCTTAGACTTTACTAGAGACTTAAGATCCATACATCCAATCGTCCAAACATTCGCATTTATTATATTAGTAAGCACATTCCATTCATATTACTGTGTTCTTACTACCTTTTGGTACCTTACCTTACCTTTAGTTTTCTAAATATTTCTAGTTAGATAATTATTGAGAAGCGTCGGTGGCTCAGTGGTCAAGCACTTGACTTGCAATCTGCAGGTCCTGGGTTCGAATCCCGCCATGTAGTAATGTGTTTTTCGATTTCCGATTTACATATGTACATTTATCCGACGTTCTTACGGTGAAGGAAAACATCGTGATGCAACCTGCACATATCTGTGAAGAAATTCAAAGATATGTGTGAAGTCAACCAACCCGCACTTGGCCAGCGTGGTTGACTATAGCCTAATCACCCTTAACTTAGGGTAGGCTCCGAGCCCCTCGGTGGGGACGTATAGTGAGCTGATGATGATGATGATAATTATTGAAAAAGATTTTAGTTTTAAAAAATATATTATTTCTGAAAACTTGGGTTTTTTACTGGAAACTAAACATACAAAAATACCGAAAATGACATCATGACGGATTTTACTTTTCAATTTGTATTCAACTTATGTACCGTAAGGACGTAATCTGAACGATTCCTCGCCGTTTTTGAATATCGTACAATTAGATTTATTATTTTCATTATTAAAAATATGTAAATTCAAAGACCATAAACAATGAGTTTTAGTTGTTATACAAAACAGACAAAAAAGTTTATAAGGAAATAAGGTTTAATATGACTATGATACAAAATAGATTTTCTTTATAATTTGTCTTAATAATTCATAATTCGCCTCATCCATTATCGTACTTCCTTATTACATTGTTTAAGTTTCTATAAAAAGAGAGCTAAAAAAAGTGTTAACCGCTTCGTTGCGATAGAACGAATATCAATTAAAGAAGTACACATATAAACAATCTAGCTGTCAATAATACAGCTTAATCAGTAGCCTACGTGTTCTTCTAGGCTGTGTTCTACATCTATGCCAAATTTCAACGAGATCCGTGGAGCAGTTCTGAAGAAAGCTTCTGACAAACATCTATCCATCGATCCATACATCCAACCATTCTCATCTATGATTCAGTAATAGAAGTGCGGCGCCATCTACCGGATATCTTTGCAACTTAGATGTCAAATCGCCATCTATTAGAATTTCATAGAACTAACGGTAAATACACACTAAAGATGTAAAATAAACATTTAACTTGCAAGAACTAAATACTGAGATAAAAACTACCCTACATCTCATGTTGGACCAAATTACAGATGTTTACAAAATTTGATAACAATTGGTTCCGTAGTTTCGGAGTATATCGTTTTTTAGTTTTAAGCTGACCCCACCACCTTGTGGGATGCAAGCTAGGGAGAGAGAGAGAGTTTCGGAGTTTATCGCAAACATACATCGTGACATGAATTTCTTACATATGTATATAATACTAGCTTTCGTCTGTGACTTCATCCACGCGGAATTAAAAAAAAATAGTCGCCTATGTGTACGATGTACCTATATTAGTAAGATAAGATGTATTTTTATAAGTAATCTCAACGTATAAAGTGAAAAATTAAAGAAGGCGCAAGAAACGTCTCCCCAATATCCCGACGTATTATACAATTCAAAACGACGGAAATAAATTGAACAGGTGCCGCTAAAATTCCATTTATTTTAATTTCCGTTCATTCGATGTGTCGACGAAAATCTCATTCCCCGAATGAAACAATGTTTTCTTTTAATATTCGATTTAATATCGAAGGTACAAAACACTTTACGGTGTTATGATGACGATGTTTTTCTTTTCGAGTATTTTCTATATTTGAAAGTATGTATATCTTTTTCGTGACTGAAAATTCTTAATTTTCCTTCATTATCCAATCACCCTTTCATTCATAAGGTCTTCTAGCAGCCTATGACAATGATGAGAAACCATTTTTATGGTGTCTGTCTGTCGTTATGTATGTCTGTCCGCAAGACCGCGTTTTTTCCGAACTTATTTTGACGGAAAATTAGTTGAAACGCGCAGGTATAATATATGTTACTTTTACTCTATTTGCCGTAGACGAAGTCGCAGGCGACCGCTAGTCTCTTGATAAATCTATTATTATTATCACGCTAATAAATAAATAATCTAGGAGCAATAATATTTTTTACAACTTTGGATAGAAGAAATTATCAACCTGCCCTTATGCCAATGGAGGGTCAGCATACTATGTACTACTCTATACATCTTTATCAGCCGTCATATCTATCTATCCTCTTTTTTTTGACAGTGGTAGAGCCCACTTTAACATCTTCGCCCGAATTGGCCCGGCTCGCCCGGTGAAATACCACGACCACAAAGAAGACAGGCGTGAAGTGGAAGCAATTCCGCGTTTCGTCTGATGAGTGTGCGTCCCGGTGGCCTAATTTAATGCTCTTTCCCTTCCCACCCTTTTTCTTATAATGAAAGGATGGGAAGTGGAAGTGGACTTTCCGGATGAGAGGATGCATGGAAAGGGAAAATATTTTCTTGCTGTGGATCCTCTCCTCCGTTGATTAAAGGTAGGCAACGCATATGCAATTGCGTATGTCTATGGGCAACGGTCACTTCGCTATTTCAGGTGGCCGCTCACTCGTTTGCCACCTTATGATATAAAAAAAATCCTCCTTTACACAGTCCATCTATATTGAATAGATGAAATACAGAGTAAAAAGGGTGGATAGTAAAAAAAAAAAACAAAGAATAAATTGTGAACTTTTTCTAATTAAACTCTTACGGAACGACTAGACATATATTTTAAAGGCAGTGTAATTAACAAGATATAAGTAATATTGAGTATTGTAATAGTTGATTTAGTTTACATTATTCTTAACGTCTTTGGCCGTCAACTGTTTTTGGGGCATGAATGCGGTTGTATTCGATGGAGCGGGCGATGTACTCGGGGATAGGTTGAGGTTCGGGGGCGACGGGAAGGTGGGCACCCTGGAATGAAACAAAAATTAAGAATAAAATGATAATCTTAAAATCAGTATACATTGTTTCTTAGGCAATAGTAAACTGGATTGTAATGGGAATTCGAGGCTACGTTTATATTGCTTTGTTTGATTTAGCGATTGATTTAACATTATTGAAGAGCGTCGGTAGCTCACAGGTTAAAGCACTTGACTTGCAATCTGCAGGTCCTGGGTTCGAATCCCGCCATGTACCAATGTCTTATTCGATTTTCGATTTACATGTGTACATTTTGTCCGACGTTCTTACGGTCAAGGAAAACATCGTGACAGCTTAGCTGGAGTGATCCATGATCTATCCTCATGCAAAATACGTGCTAGACGTGGAGCCTACTACATCTTCTTCTATACTTTCAACGTACCTGTGGTTGGTATCCGAACTCGTTGGCGACGTAAGTCAAAGAGATGATGCTGCCGTCAGGTGCCGCGTATCTGTTTTGTCCTTCGACTTGCAAAGCTTCGTCTTCCTATAAAAATATCAAAGAAATGAGATTAAAGTGGCTGAACAGTGTCTCTACTAAACGTGAGGTTAAATGATAAAATTAATCTTACTAATATTATAAATGCGAAAATTTAGATGGATAGATGGATGTTTGTTTGAAGATATCCCCGGAACGGCTTTATGAATCTCGTTGAAATTTGGCATTAGCATAATACATAGGCTACTAATTAAGATTTTATTAATTCCGTGCGGACGGAGTCGCGGGCTACAGCTTGTCAAAAATAAACACGAAATTATACATATCAGACTGATTTCAAATACTTGAATATTTAAACAGTTTTTGAAACAAATTACGTTATTATATGTATTTATGAATATTTATTAAAATAAATTAAATACAGAGGAGACTTCTTTATTATCTCGCTGCGATAATCGGAATTCGTATTAAACCGCACCTATAACTTTAAACATTTGAACCTTGATATTTCTTCAAGGTCTTCAATTTACGAGGAAAACATGTTAAAATCTTTTTGTCGATATTTTTTTATTAACATTATTCGCAAAAAAGAAAATCCACACAATTTACGTAGTTAATATAAAGTTCTCGGCAGTGTTATTCTGGATAAAAGATGCGGAAATGTTTTGACGATTTCAGAGAACTCCAAAGGATTTTAAATAATACAGACGCAGCGCTGTCAAATACTAATAATAAATATGTGATTATTCTCCTATCGGCTATCCTTTCCTATCTTGTTTGTTAGTCCTATCAAATGTAATTCACTGTTACATCATTTCTTTGAGCATCTGACCAACACGAATAAAGACTTCGTGATAGAGCTTCAATTCTTAATCCCTCACCCCGGGATGGATCCGTCCATGGTAGTCGAAATTTTAAATAAGTTTATTACTTACGCGGCCAACGTTCTTCAGTAATCCAGACTCAGCAGCGACAATACCGTTTGCGGTCTCATAACTAAACTGGTATTTGTCGGGAAAGACGTCAGCCTCTTGGTTAATGATGGCAGCGTCAGCCTCGGGAGACCGGAGTGCGGGTCCGTCAGCAACCACCACTGCCACAAGGGCGAAGAGAGCGATGAAGGTCCTCTAAAATAGACAATTTAAGATTAATATTATTATATGTAGATCAAGAACTAGTCGGTGCCGCCACCGGACGTATATACGTGAGTGTTTAGCCGTGTTTATATATCAGTTTAGTATAATGTCTCACAAAAGTTTGAATAATTTATATGTAGATATTTCACACTAGCGGGAAATGCGACTTTTTTTATTTACGATCATATGGCTAGCCGCGTTAGTGGAAAAAGTTTTAAGGTCAACGCAGTTTTATGATAATTTGGATGGATAAAAGACATATAAAAACTTTATAAAAATGTATGAAATATATTGAGTAATGCAGTTAAATATGATCGTTACAAAAACGAATTTCTTAAGGCGATTGCCCTTTATACTTGATTAGGACATTGACTATAGCTGGCGGCGTAATCTCAATTATTTGTGACGCAACTACTGGCTCGGACTCACCATGCTTGTGTCAAAGTTAACGGATTGCGTGTAACTGTACGTTAGACGAACGAGCCGACGTTTTTATACTCCCGTCTAAACTCGACGACTCGTTGGATCTTAATTTGCATGATTTGGCAACAAAGCTCTGATCTACAATATGGCTTGTGGCTTTTCGCAAGGTGATTACAATTAGTAAGTTTGATTTTTTTTTTATACCTGACAGGAGGGTTTTGTTTTGAGGGCATTTGTGTATGTACATTATAATTTATTTCAGTTCCCTTCAGAGATTTTGAAGTTAGTAATTCGATTCTTTTTCATGACTCGTTTTTCCATATGGGTACCTACAGCTAGTTGAGTTTTTTGATGTATTTTTAACTTGCACCTAATTATTATCAAATAAACAAGTGAATGTGATTAATTTGATGAAAATGTAGCGAATGTTTAGATGGATGGATGGATGTTTGTTTCAAGGTATATCCAAAACAGCTGATCGATTCTCGATGGAATATGGTATACATATAGACCATAGTCTGGAAGAACAAATAGGCTACTTATTTATTTTTATTCTCGCGGACGAAGTCGGGAGCGACAGCTAGTATTTTATATAAATAGGTAAATCACGTGCGATAAATATCCTTGACCTTTGACATTGGTCGTCCATTGATTTTAGGTTATTCTTGGTAAAACTAGCGATGTTCAAAAACTGGTCCTATATTTCTTATCATTTAAACATTTTTATGTTACTGCGACTTCGTTGAATAAGTATGGCCATGGTTTTGTTTTTAAAATAAACTTTTTAGAATTATTTTTTTTTCTTAATATGTTTAAGATGGATCAAATATGTATTAAACATTATCTGTGTACATAGTTTAACAAGTTTGAAACTTAAATGTAATATTATTTTGTCCGATATTTTACCGATATTTTACCAATTGAGGAATGATAACTAACTAAAATTTGTTACTACTATTATATAAAAAGGAGTCGCAAAATGTGTGGTAACCGCATAACTCAACAACGCCTGGACCTATTTGGACATTTCTTTTTTTAAATGTTCATTAAAGTTCAAAGATGGTTTTTACGGCGAGAAAAAATCGAGTAATTGCCGGGAATTGATTATTTTTTTTCCATTTCACGCAACGGAGTCGCAGGCGACAGCTAGTTTTTATTAAACATAAGGAAAAAATGTTGCCTAATTAAAATTTTTGTTACATTGTAATAATGTATTATTGGTCTTATGTAAATCTATGTTTCAGTCTAACTGTTTTACTTATCTAGATTATATTACAATGTATTCTAGACTAGTAATAACATTGCAAAAATAAATAATTCGCTTTCTGATTTTCGTTTTATTATTTATTTTTATCAAAAAAGACGCATGCGACTATTACTTACAATTTGTATTTACATCTTACTAATATTATAAATACGAATGTATGGATGGATATTTTTTTTTATATCATAAGGTGGCAAACGAGCAAGCGGCCATCTGAAATCGCTGAAATAGCGAGGTGACCGTTGCCCATAGACATACGAAATTGCATATGCGTTGCCTACCTTTAATCGACGGAGGAGAGGATGCACAGAAAGAAAATATATATTCCCTTTCCATGCATCCTCTCATCCGGGAAATCCAATTCCACTTCCCTTCCGTTCCTTATAAGAAAAAGGGTGGGAAGGGAAAGAGGACTAAATTAGGCCTCCGGGACGCACACTCATCCACTTCACGTCTGTCTTCTGTGTGGTCGTGGTATTTCAAGCGGGCCCTACCACTGATAAATATAATATTATATTTGTTAGAAGCTATCTCAAGAATTGCTGCACGGATCTCGCTGAAATTTGGCATATATGTACAGCATAGTCTGGAAGAACACATAGGCTACTAATTAATTTTTTTTTATCCCTTGCGGACGGCGTCTTAGCCGCCAGCTAGTCATTTTAATAATATATTTATATATAATATTTATTTAACGTGTTCAATGAATATTTAATATCGTATTAAGTTCGAAAAGTTCATGGCAGGAATCCGTCAATTCTATACATCTAACAATAGTCTCTACCAATGTATTATAGGTAGATAAAAAATATGAATAACAAATATGTCAGATATGTACATATATACATACAAGGTTATTTTTGCGCTGCAATATTTCTATTCATACTGTTTATGATGACCAATTTATAGTGTCACACTTTCGTTTTTATACTTTTCTAATTATTAGCTATCGCCTGCGATTCCGTCCGATCGGTATTTTTTTTTTATAACAGAAGGAGGGCAAACGAGCAGCGGGAACACCGAGGTGTTCAACGACGCCCATGGACATCAGCAATACCAGAGGAAAAGCAGATGCGTTGCCGGTCTTAGAGGTTATTAAACAAAAAAATAGTAGGCTATGTGTCCTTCCAGACTATGTTATACATCCATATCAAATTTCAACATCTCTTCACCCGTTCTGGAGATACATCCATCTAAACACGCGCATTTATAACATTAGTAAGATAAGTTGGGTACAACATGAACTTCGTAAAATTTTAATCACTGATACTTATTACGACTCTGGAGCGAGAAATGTTTATAAGGGAGAGTCATTGTCCGCTCCAACGACCACATAAGCGAGAAACTCTGGTTAGAATGAAACCTTTATAAGCGAGATTAATACCGCAGTCCCTTGGATTCTCGCTTATACAGGTTTGACTGTTTTTCTTGTCATTTGATAACCAGGGATTCAGAAGTAACTTAAAATAAATATTTTACCTCCATTTTGCTTAATGTAAAATATAAATTTATATATTAACTACTATAATAGTACTAAAAGTTACATAATTTTTTTTACAATTTTATTTCAGGGGTTATTCAATCCCTTGGCCATCATCGTGTTATTACGACCATTAGGATATTGGCGTTTTATTTTCGAGTATTGAAATTCGTAATATCTGCCTTCCAAGTCATGCGGTTATATTTTTTATCTGTAGCGTATTGATTTCAAGTTTACCGTGACAACATGTATGCCGCAAGTCATATAAGTTCGTTTGCAGTTTTTGTGGTACGTCAGGGTCTATGACCAGTGTAATAAAAAGTGAAATGACTTTATGTGTATACGCGCCTAATTTTATATGCGATAATAAATAGAGATAATGAATATTCATTTTTGGCGCCAAAGTAACTAGTACGCATATGTAACTAGCTGTCGCCCGCGACTCCGTCCGCGCGAAAATGAAAAAAGCCTTAATAAGTAGCCTATTCATTCTTCTAGACTATGTTTTCCATCTGTGCCGAATTTCAGCAAGATCCATGCAGTTCGGTAGATACTATCAAACATCTATCCATCTATTTAAACATTCGCATTTATAATGTTAGTAAGAAGTAAGATTGTTTTCTAGTTTTAACTAATAGGATACCACTAGAATTTATTCTCATACATAATCAATTATAATTTCAAACATAACACTTTGATTAACAATTTATTTATCTACTATTTTTATTTTATAAATACTAAAATAGATATGCTATTATAAGTCTTAGGACAATCGCTGTCAGTTGCTGTAATGGCCAGTTCTATAAAGGAATTTTTATACCATAGAGAATCGTATACTCAGTTTGGTGTTAAAGTCTAGAGTAGTGGTTCCCAAACTTATTTTGTCTACTGCCCACTTTGAGAATAAATATATTTTTACCCCCCCATATTAGAGTTTAAGCAATCTTTTAATTAATAAAACGCCCACACTTTCTTTATGGGTCTCTTACCGCCCCCCTGGAGACCTGGAGCGCCCACAAGGGGGCGTTATCGACCACTTTGGGAAAGACTGGTCTAGAGCGACCAGAGTGAACCGCAACATCCCTTACTCGTTATTAAATTCTATTCAGAGCGCTGTAACGTTGCTGTTGGATTAAATCTGCTAATATTAGTTTGTTTTTATTCATACAGTTTGTCTTTTAATTAGGTCATTTAAATTTTTATTTCTTGACCTAAGTCGGGTCAAGTGCAGACAAGGATTGATAGTTATTAGTTTATAATCCAAATAATTTTCATGTTATTAATAACGTAAAATATGTATTTTTTTTAATTACAAACACTACAATTTTATTAATATGCACACATGTGGAAGGGTACATCGTTAGAGGTAGACCTAGGAAGAGATTCAGAAGGGAGTGACGACTGAGATGATGGAAGATAGGTCGATCTGTAAGACAAAAACTGGTGCGCTGACCCCACTTGAGTAGGACCCCACTTTAGTGGGGTCAGCGCACATAGGATAAAAAGAAGATGATGATTATGTCTTACAACGTGTTACACGACAAAATAGCTAGAAATTTGCGTCGTAAGCTAACACGATATTTTTTCAACACATAATTGTATTGGCAATATTCGTGTTATGAACTTTTGAAATGCCTACATGTCGAGACCTGAATTTTACGACATCAAACTGGAGTCTTGACATTTAACATGAAAATACACCTCAAAGTAAACCGTATGTTTTGCATAAATACATGGCATAAATAAATAAATAAAAATTGTTAATTTTAGATTTAATATTAGCATTGATAAAAATGTTGCTATGTGATTTTTTTAAGTCGATTTGATACTTTTTAGGTACATAATGATACTTTAAAAATTTAAATATATGAGTTACTAGCGGTCGCCCGCGACTCCATCGCGCAAATTAGTAACCTATGTGTTCTTCAAGACTATGTTCTACATTTATACCAAATTTCAGCGAGAGTTGAGCCGTTCCGAAGAAACCTTCAAACAAATATCCATCCATTCATCTATCCATCCATCCAAAAAATCATTTCGCATTTATAATACTATAATAGTAAGGTTATATTATTAATAAGATGTAAAAATTGCAGGAACTTTAAGAAAATAGTTTTCGCTCATTTAAATTTTTTTGTTTATTAATCCTATTACGCTTGGTCGTCTTTTAGGACTCTATATAAAAGAGTAAATGATTTTATTTTCCGCTAAGGAAATGTTATCGCCTTATAGTCAAACTCCATTGCCGTGGCAATTGTACACTCAGCTGCAAAAATGTGTATACTTTTAGAAATTCTCACAACTCGTATATGCCTTCGGTTTTAAAAATATATTTACACGTGTCTGCCCGTATTCTGCA